AAGCGGCCGAGGGTGAAGCAGCCCTGGGCGCCTGCTAGGAAGCGCGAGGCCTCGGCGTTGCTCGTGGGCTGTCCCGAGGATGTGAGGCGAGTTTCGGTAACGTAGTTGATAAAGGCACCTGCGATGGCAACTTGAGCGCCTGTGTAACAGAATTGGGCAAATGTGGCATGGAAGAGGCGGTATTGTTTGCGGAAAGGTGCGACATCTGTGCCTGCGTGCGTAGATTCGGCTTGGAAGGCCATGTCGGCATCTGAAATTCATCAGTATTTTATATCCAATCATGGCTGTTTCAAAACATGAAGACATCTAGAAAGATATGAAGACGTACCTGTGATTTCAGGAATGGGCGAGAAATAGTATCTAGAAGATTGTAGTCAGTGTGTGCCACATTGGGCCATTTTGGTGGAAAGATGGACTTACACCACAGCCAGCAGAAAGACAAAGCAAGCAATTGCCAAATAAGTCCACTGAACACTGGCCAAATCGTCTTCATCCGTTCCTGTATTCACAAAGAATACATAACTCGCCAGCACAGGCGCAACCACCGTTCCAATACCATTGAACGCTTGAGCGATGTTGATCCTGATCTCCGAGTAGCGAGGAGGTCCGCAAACCTATTTCCCGCATATATTAGCGAGCGTCTTTTTTGAACTACCAGAGAAGTGTATCTCTATTGTCTTCTTGAGTAGTACATAGGGGTCTGTTCAACTTACAGCAAGATAGGGGTTCGCCGCCGTCTCCAAACTTCCCAGACCATTTCCAATCACAAAAATGGCTGCACAAAATCCGCCAAAACTGCGATATACGAGGCACGGCCAGGCCAACAAAGAGCCCACTCCATACAAAAATAGCCCCCAGATGAAAACGGCCTTGTAGCCCCAGTGCCGCAGGAGCCAGTTTGCGTGGCCCAACGAGGCAAGCGGGTATGCGCCGAAGTAGGCTGCTTGGAGACCGGAAGAGCGTGCACGTGTGATGTTCAGGGTGACTTGAAAATGCTTGTTCAGCGTGTCGATTAGGCCGTAGGAGAAGCCCTGGAGAAAATTAGTGGGTATCCATTTACGAATTTAGAATAGAAGGGCTGGAAGGGCTGGTAGTGGTAGTGGGGGCTGCGTGAACTTACCCATAGAAAAAAGAGGATTGTCACAAGGAAGAGGGGATAGATTGATTGGCGAAGAGTAAGTTCCGCAGCTTTTGTACGCTCGTCATCGCGCGTGCGGAGGGTGGGGCGTTTGATGCTCCAGCCCATCTTGAGTTGATTGTATGTAGTCTCGTGTTGTTGTTCCTTTGACGATACCTGCGATGAAGGTGTGTCCGTACCCACTACTACGCAGAATTTACCGGATGTTCTGCGGCGGTATAAACGGTGGTTTGCGACGTTTGCAACTACCTAGTGTGTACTGGAGTAGAGTTGCCAACAAACCTCAGATGTAAGAATGGCAAGGTCCCAAATCCTTTCGACTGATAGGATGGCACAACTGGAAGAACCGCACACCACTGTCCACAGATAAGAACCCAAGTGAAGAAAAAAAAAGCGGATGCGTCCCTGTTCAAGTACTCGTTCGTGCTCCTCTTCATCACACCGAACCCTGGTCTTGTGCACCACCCTCACCCTCTGGGCATTCCTCTCAAGGAATCCAACCACACGCAGCATCACGCCAACAACCCCTACCATGGGATGCCCTAGCCCAGCATACGAGCACCCCTCGATCGTAACCGCCCCCCCCCCCGCGATTCAATGACCCCGACATTGGAAACCAAGACGGTATTTTGCCACCTCTAGTAAGTATCCCGCCCGCACTTAAAAAGCCGGGGTAGAACGTCTGGGGATCAGCATCAGCGCGCGCTAGGCGGCATGGCGCAAGTGACGTGACGTCTGCCTTCCCCAACAACACAAGGCATTCAGGCCCAGACGATGGGCTCGGCAGAGCGGAGACCGATGGAGCTTGTCTATGGCAAAATTCTCGGAACAAAGGGGGCCTTGGGGAGGGAAAGGATCGGCGGGTTGGGCCAGCTTTGCATCAGCACTTGAGCTACGTTGATGGGGTGAGAAGAATTCTGGGAGGCTTCGATTGCATATCGGCGTCGAATATGGATGTGGGCGCATGAATCGCGCCGTCGGATAGGGCATGCATCTATTTGCTGATCGGGTGTAGTACGGGACGGGACTACTGTGTACTGTGTGTACCATGTATACGTATATGTACTGTGACAAGGAGGTTCACGTTACGACGGATAGGGAGGAACAAGGTTTGGTCTGCGGCGCTTCTTCCTACTGTGTACCGGTATGCCCACGTGTTGCACGCTCGTACATACATGAATACCTGCCTCGCCCTCACTCCCACTACCCGTCAGCCCTTTGAAAGAAAGGAAGAGAATGCTGCATGCAAGTGACTGTGTATTTGCGCCGGAATAGTAATTACACTACTCTAGTTCGTTCTATAGTAGCACGAAAAGCCCATCCGACACAACGCAACCATCCATTCCTGATTTCACGCGACGTACCCCATTCATTCATCATTACCAATCCTACTTCTCAATCCCCAATTCCTTGTAGAACGCCTCCGTCTGAGGCTTCCTGCCCAAAAACTCCACTAGAATATCCATTTCCTCTTTGCTGCCTCCACGCTCCAGCACCGTGTGGCGATAGCGCCGGCCTTCTTTGGGATTCATTGGGTCAGCTTTGAAGACACTGTAGAACATGTCTGTAGAGTAGACTTGAGAGGAAAGGTAGCCGTAGTATCTGTTGTCATTTTCGAGTCAGCCAATTGTATCATATTAGATCTATGACGAGTTTAGGCCATCAGGATAGGTGGGGAAAGAAAGAGAAAGAGAAAGACTTACCCAGCATCGTACCCACCGATCAAATGTCCAAATGTCGCTTCACCATTACCCCAATGCCAATCGCCCTTCTTATCCCCATCTAGCGCCTCAGGTCCATCCAGCTGGCAGATTTCGTGCCTCAGCGAGTTGTATGTCTCCGTGATGTCCATGTTCTCGAGGGCCTCGTGGCTAGCAGGTTCGTGCACCTTCATATCAAAGGTACCAAAGTGCAATTGTCGAAGGTTGAACAACGCATCGTTGACGTGCTTCGTGCTGATCAAGTTTGCAACCAGCGAGTTGGGGATCTTCTCGGCCGGCTTCTTGTCCGAGCCCGACGACTCTTTGTATGCGGCTTCATATTCTGGAGATAGATAGGAGTAGTGGTGCGATAGTGATCGGAGTTGCGAAGGGGTCCAGCACCAGTTCTCGAGCATCTGAGAGGGCGCTTCGACGAAATCGCGGACGGTATTTGTGCCGTGGAAGCGCGAGTATGTGGTTCGTGAAACGAGGTCGTGGATACCGTGGCCAAGTTCGTGGAACAGGGTTACGACTTCTTCGTGCTTGAGCAGCGACGGCTTTTTGGGCGTGGGCTTGGAGAAATTGCAAACGAGTGCTGTGGCAGGGTAGCGTCGCTTTCCGTTCTCATCTATGTAACCGGGCTGGAGGTTGAAGTTGGCAGCATGCCCGTACTTGCCGTCTCGCGGAAACAAGTCAAGATATAGGTAACCAACAAAACCAGCACCTTCACCTTCGTCATCCCAGACACTGAAGATCTGTACATCCTCGTGCCAGACGATGTCGGAACCCTTGCCACCGTCGGCAAGAGCTGCACGCTCCTCTTCACCTACAATCTCGACAAAAACTAAGCCAAACAGCTCCTCGAAGATTTTTAGCATGCCTTGGATCGTCGTCTGCAAGGGGAAGTACTCGGCAATGACCTGGTGATCGAGCTGGTACTCTTTCTCCAACATCAAGCGGTCGTAGTAGCGGTTGTCCCATAGGTAATATCCCTCGGTCAATGGTCCCGTGAGGCCGCGTTCCTTGTTGTCCTGCTTCTTGAGCTCCTTCAACTTTTCGATTTCCTTCGCACCCCCTGGTGCCAGCCGTACGCGCAGATCCGCCAAAAAGTCGTCAACGGTCTTGGGGGTCTTGGCCATCTTGTCTTCAATCCTGAATTGCGCGTGGTTATCGTAGCCGAGGAGTCGGGCAGCCTCGTCGCGGAGAAGGATGGCTTCACGGAACAAAGCCACATTCTCGGGACACTTGTTTTCGTTTGCGATGAAGACCGTCTTACGGGTTTCGGCATTCGTCGCGTACTTGAGCGTGGGAAAGAGATCAGGGTACTTGAAGGTAAGCCAGACCTTGCCCTCGTTTTCTCCGTCTCCCTTCTTCAGGCCCGAGAGCACATCATCCGGGACACCGTCCAGCTCCTCCCGCGTGAACCACAGGCCGCCGTTCTCCTCGTTTAGGTTCTTGCTGAAGGCAATGCTGATCTGACTCAGCCTCTGCTTGATGTCCTTGAACCGGTCCCTTTTCTCACCCGCAGGCAAGCTCAGCCCGTTGCGGATATACGACTTGTGCTCCTTCTCCAGCAGCCGTTGCGACTCCGGGTCCAGCTTCTCGCCCTTCTTCAGCACCGCGTCCACCAGGTTGAAGACGTCTTCGCGCATGGACGACTCAATCGCAAAGTCTTCAAACAGCTGCTCCGCTTCGCTGGACGCATCCCGCAGCTCCTTGTTGGTGGACACGGCGTTGTAGAAGCCGATGATGTGCGACTCGATAGCCACCTTGTTGTCATCGTGTGCGCTGGGGAGGTTGACAGTCGCAAACGTCGCCGTGTCACGTGTGTTCTTCGCAACAATTGCATCCTGCACGGCTCGTGATCTCTCAATCTATCGAGTGGGTGGTCACAGAGTCAGCTTCCTGTTTCCTAGATGGGCAGATGCTTCCCCCTGCCCCTCCAATCACCAGAAGTGCGGGGTTTGTATGTCGCAGCCGCATTCTGCCACCTACTATGTCGGTATCATGTATGTATGTAGGTGGCGGGGTGTGCGTGTGAATCGCGCGGTAGTCACCCCAACACGGGAAGCCTTTGAAGACGTACCAATCTCTTTGTGTCGCTGAGCAAACTCTCCTTTGTTGCTGTAAACTTGGGTGGCAGCTGCGGCGGCTTCTTGTACAAGCTCGAAACCATGGTGGAATTGGTGAGCGGGCGGTGCGACTGCGTGACCAACGGATGGGGTCTTATATATTGGACGATGGAGGGCACGCGTAGACCAAGTCGCAGTGAAGCCAGAATGGAGAATGTGGCGATGAGCACAGCGACAACGGCGAAAAGGAGCTTGGTGAGGCGTGAGGAAGCCACGGTGGTGTGCATGCGCTTTGGGGCTCAAGGCGTCATGTACCTACCCGTTGCCGATTATGTGGGGAAGGCAGTGCGTGGTGTGCGTGTATGTGCGGGCGGTGTACTGCACTACCGGTAACAGTCCAAATGGGGGTGATTTGGGGCACAGTGGAGAATGCTGCCGTGGGTGAATGTAGAGGGGCAACGTGACTTCTTGCTTCACAAGCTGCCCCTGGCCTCCTTGATGACCCGCATCATGCACCTCTTGCACGAAGAGGAGATGTGTGGTTGCTGGGTAGAAATTCGGCCCGAATGGTCAAGTGGAGACGGGACCACCTTTGATCAGGGCCAGCCTCTCCAAGGATCATGGCCATTTCATCATCCGTTCACTTGTGTACAGAGTATCACGACGAAATCATTGGCCGACAGCTAGGTAACGTAAATCTACTGCCGTCCATTGTGGCCTACCTACAAACAGCGGGTTTGCTGGTTTTACCTAGCTGCTTACCAGTACCGTAGCCGAAGCGAGACACAGCATCATTCTGTAAGATCTTGAAACCGTAAGCAGGCTCAGGATGTTCAAGACTGGATACCAAGCTGGGAATAGTGCACTTGGGTCCAACATGGAAAATTATATCACCATGTGCGACCTAACCTAGCGTTTTGGGCCCTGAAAGGAACTCCTAGAGACATACTACACGGGTACGGTTGTGTTTGATGGCTTCAAGCAAAACTTGAGAAGACTTCCCTTTTGAGCATGATTCAGAGACTGCAAAGATTAGCTGTCCTGGCTGAAGACGTCATCAATCCAAGTCTCAAAAACACATGAGTATACAGAATAATATATCGATCAACTAGCAGCGGCGCAGTAGGCCAGCTACCACGCTGTCACCGAAATTTGTATCCATTCATATCTTACATTTCACAGGCCGTCGTTCCACCTCATCATACATATCATACACATTACCGAGCATGCTGGCCTCAAATCCACATCTTACACCGCACTGAGCGGTCTCGTAGGCTCCAAACTCGTACTGTTCCGGCTCCTCAAGCTCAAACTCTCTGGCACAGTAATGAACGGTCCCCATCTCGGACTCTTCTCGCCCGCTTTCCCCTCTTCCAATCCAAATGCCCCCGCCTCTGCCTCAAGCTGAGGGGCTCGGTTTTGGTTGTGCTGGTCTACACCGCCCATGGGCTTTGGTGGTTCGACTCTTACTAGTGGTGTGCCTGCCTGTTGCTGCCTATCTTTACCCCCCGTGAAGAGTAGCCGCAGGAAAGGTACAGACGCGGAGATGATACCAGCGTTTGTCTCGACTTGGCCCCAGAGAAGCAAATCCACGCCGAAACGTGCGCTGTTGTACGGCGACTCGGCCCACAGCATCATGACCCACATGCGTACTGAGCTCGCTATGATGGCCATGATGCCAACGGAGAAAATCCCAATGAGTGCCAGGCGTTTGCTGACTGGCACCCGTAGGCTGAGTAGCGCCGGTATGGGCATCAGCAAGATGATCACATCGGTAAGCAGATTGGCTGCGCCGCAAAATATCCAGAGTTTGGTGGGATCGAAGCACGCAAGCTGTTTTTGCTTCGTGTTTGGGTTACGGTCGAACTGCGCAAAGTAGTTTGCAGTGTCCCACGAATCTGATGGCTTTTGGCATTGGAAGATGCCGGCTATGGCTGCGGCAATCGTGTACAAGGAAACGAAGGCAATGGTGGCGTGAACTATGCGCCGAAATGTCCGCTGCGCAGCGATTGCTCGGTAGAAATAGAGAATGCTGAGTTTGACAAAGCATAGCCCGACGATGTAAGTGATGCGGTAGAGCCACCATGTGATTAAGGTACCGCGCAATGATGCTTCTACCTCCAGTCGTTTCTCCTACCATGTCATTAGTGCCAGCGAGTTTGAATATGACAAGTTGCATACTGGTATCCGGATATAACTTGGTCGGAATTTGCTGCTTGTCTCATCTTGATAATAGTTGATGACAAAGTTGCCCCAAGAGAGGACCTAGAGACAATTAACACCATATCAGCATAACTTTGTTCCGTCTTACCAATGCCGTCAACATGAGATGATCACTTGCGGTGATGGTGCCCATGAGAAAGTATCGACAATAGTATCTGTACTGCCATATCAGCAAGATGACCACAGCATCCGACAGAAAGTAGCTCTATACCTCAGCCCGACGATGACGGTCGATATCGAAGTCAAAGTCGCTCCGACAATGACCACTACAAATCCCGGGCGTAAATAAGTCATGATGTAGATCGATTGATCGAGATCGATCTCGCATTCATGAGTTGCTCCTGAGGTCCTGTTCGCCCAGTCGATGGGCAGAAACACAGAACTGCTGGAGCTTTCTGCTGAGGCAATAAGGAGCTATCTTGAACACACAAAGAGCAGTAAACGGGGAACGCTCGTGCCTCCAAACTGACTGATGATAAGAGCGGATGCCTGTGGTTTAGAATGCCCCACACATGGCTATCGTATTTGTCGCTTACGAAAGAGCGTGTGATGGACGCCCAGCGGATGCAGGCAGTCGAAACTGTGACATGTACGAGATGCTACTAGAGTAAAGTTCATCGGAAGTCGTAAGCATAACGTGTGCCATGGAGGAGGTACAGACTTCTCCACTGTCAATGGTGCGGGATAAAACGTTCGCAAACTGGGATGCCGGTGTTAGAAACCGTTGTATAGTCTGTGTGATCGGCTCGGTACCAGGATTTTTATGTGTAGCATGGTTGGGAGTCATGCACACGGCCTCGTCGGTCGTTTCGTTATACGTGATATGGTCGCAGAGTCGCGGGATTCAGGGATCGTACCTGGTTTTACACACCACAGAATGATACAATGCATGCAGTACTCAACAACGCAAAAGAGTAGCTGGGTCCTCGTGAACGATTGACTGGCTGCATAAAGTGATCTGCTCGGCGCTTCTGTATCCACTCCCACGCGGACATGAGACCGTCTGAGGTTTGACGGCTGAAACACTCGTGCAGTCGCCTTACAAAAGACATTCCGCCCACCCACCGTAATTATGATGGAATTTCCAAGACGGTTGAAGATTTTGAATTTTATCCGTCAACTATTGGTGCGAAATTGATGTCTGCTTGGAAACTTGAACAGTTTGGACAGGAGAGGAATGCTGGTTCGGAAAGGAGCTGGGAAAAGAAGCGCACGATGGTCAATCGACAATACCGTACACGTCTCGGTGAGGATAGGATAGTAAAAATAAAGGGATAGTTAGCTGGCCTCTGTTGTTCAGGTAAGAAAGCTAGGCAGCGTAGGTAGATGGCGGTGCATTCCGTTGACTGAAAGGTGTCGTGTTGTGAGGGTGTTGCAAGATCCTTGGCCCACGGCAAAGAATCATCCGAACGGGACGATACTGCCAAGAAGTTGGAAAGTGAACGTACCTACAGTAGGTAAAGACCACGCTTGAGATAGCCGTGCCTAGGTACTGCTAACAGTGATAACGGGCTTTTATGGTTGCTGTTTCTGGTGCGACCACAACTTACAATACCTAGACTCTTACAAGTACCGGTAGCCAGCTCTAGCCCAGGACGCCGGAAGACATCGCAGCGCCAGCGGCCATGAAACTATATCCCATTCGTACATAGCCAGCACGTATATGGGGACGGACTCTGTAGCCGTCGACTTTCTTGGTCGAATATCGCGAGAATGAGGGAACCAAGTATGTGGCTTAGTACGGTGAAGCGTTCCCACTTCCCTAATTGGGCATAGCTGGCTCGCTCCCGAGTCCACTGTCACTGCCCGGCGGGCGTGCAGATGTGCCCGTCAGAATGACTCATTCGCGCTAGGCTGTAAATGGATCCATTTCAAGTCCCACCAACGTTCATGGTCGTCTCGGAGGACGCCTTGCACCTCAACAGATGTACCGTGTAGAGAGTCGCGTAAGCATCATCGTTTCTCGCAATGAGTGCACGCTGACAATATTCACTTCATCGTGAGCCATTATGATGGTGGACAGAAGATGCAAAAGTGTGGTTATATTGAGTTCAAATAGTAGATAGTCACCCATTTCGTAGTATGAGCAAGCAACCAGTGATTTACATTGCCGATAGCAACCGAGAAATCGTGTGAGTGACAGTGCAACTTCTATCCCACAACTTCGCGGATTAAAAGCCACTTTTTGCCGATGTGATTGTGCCTGAACAGGCACACATGATCGACATAATCCTCCGACATCGTCTGACTGGAAGCCTATCCTCACGAATTGCAGCAAAAAAAGACGAAGGGAAAAAGGCTGATAGCGAAACCAGATTACTTTTGCGTGCGTAGCAGAGCACGTAGAGTTTCCACTTCGCCCTCGAGCCTGGCGCAACGGACTTTGTAGTCATCACGCTCGGCCTTGACGTCTTTGAGCTCGGCCTCGAGATTACACATTGCGTCGACGCGCTTCTGTCGGTAGCGGCGAGCAGCAAGAGTATTGGCTTTGCGTTTCTCAACACGAGAAGACTCGGGTGCTAGTGGACTGTTCTTTGAAGATGACAACTTGGAATGAGAAGAAGACTGTTCAGAAGAGTAGCTGATGCGGTCCTTGGTGCTTGTGTGGGAAGAACCGGATTGCGAGTGTTCTATGGCTGTTAGAGATCCGGCAGATAAGCTGTTGACGAGTGTACATACCCTTGCTCATTGATTCTGAAACATATGAGGCCGTGCTGGAGGACATGGCCGAGAGGTTTCTATTTTCCTCGGCCGTCGTAAATAAAGAAGGAACTCCAGCGAGCATTTGAGTAGCATTGCCAAGATAACATGAGTCAGAAGAAGGTAAGGAAAAGGCGGTCCAATCCGTGGCGGAGGTGTTCAGCAAGTCGGTAGGCGTAAAGTCGCCGGCAAAGGTGACTGATTGGGTAGGAGAAGCAGAAGTGGTAGTAGCAGAAGAGGAAAGCTGAGGAGGTTCTTGGAGTTCACCGCTGTCATTAGCGATGTGGAAGGATAGCGCATAGTCCCAGTTAATTGTCGGCGGCCCAAGGTGGCTTGACGGCACCTCGGAACTGAGATGGTTGCCAGAAGAGGATGAAGGACTGGCTTGGAACGAACTGCATGGTAGCGCTGGAGTATTGCATATTGGGATGCTGAAGGGCGGGTCCTGGTACCCGCTGGTGAAATCGAAGAAGTCCTCTAGTGAAATTGAACTATCAAAAGGCGCCCGTACACGAGGGGGTGTCGAGCGCAAGGTTGGGGGGAGTGAAGGTCAGAAGGGAAGGGGGAAGAGGGGAAGAGGTGAGTGGCTTTATACGAGAGGGATCCTTAGGCAGAAAGGGCGCACAACGCTGGTGCTGGGAGGTGGGGCTGAGCATCAGCGGGCATCCAGTAGCAGACTTGGCTGACGGCAGGTGGGCCTCGTAAGATTACTTACATAATACGTACACAGTAGGTACTATGTATCTACCATAACTGCAAGTACTCTACTAGTAGGTACCTAGCTAGCCTAGCTGACAGTAGCGCCTTGACGCTTGGGCCCCCTTCGCGAAGTGTGCGTTTCCGCCCTTCGGTGTGTTGCTGCATTGACGGCTGCGTCTTTTTCCATTCTGGCACACCCACGACAGGACAGTCGGCCATGGCTTCGCTACAGACATCACGCATACTGCAACCCCTTCTCGCTCCGCCAACTAGATGCTCAGTGCTCGTATGTCTGGCACCGGCTGCTCAATGCGCCGCCCGCAGTCCACCCAAGGCACACTTTTCGACTTCACCAGCCCGATGCAAGAGGGACAACAACAGGAACCGTGGACTCTCTGTCGTGAGAAGTACTGGGTTGCGCCCAAGACAGACGCTCTCCGTCAAGGAAAAGGACTTTGCCAACCAGCGGCTACCAAAACCAGTCAAGATTGAAGACAAGTTGACGGGCACGCCAGAGCATGGACTATGGGACTTTTTCAAGGACAAGCGCCTGCTTCAAACGCCATTCGAAGAACAACGTCACGGTACGGAGCAATGGCACACATGCGCGCTTCTCCGTGCACGCAATGGGCTAACGCAATGGCAGGACGGGCGTGGACAGTGGGCGAGCTGCGCAGCCGGGACTGGGACTCATTACACCAGCTCTGGTGGGTATGCGTCAAGGAGAGGAATCGTCTGGCCACGGAAAAGTTGGAGCGTGCGCGGTTACAGGCAGGATACGGCGACTACGAGAACAAGCAGCGGGATACGGTCGTTCAAGAGACAATGAAGGCCATCCTGGACACTCTGGCCGAGAGGCACCAAGCATATACGGATGCGTTGGAGCTGGCGAAGCGCGACCCTTCTATCAATCTAAGGAAACGAAATGGCCCGCAGTACATACAGCCTGCGCCCTATGTATGCTTCTACCCAGCACACCCTCCCATCTCCACTGACATGGCCTTAGGATCTATTCGAAGCAGATGACAGCAAGTCTGAGGCTCCGTCTGAGCCGACTGCTGAGACTGGGAAACCCACGACTACATGAGACGACACGAGACGAAGCAGTGACGTGTTGCGACCAGACACGCTGGCAGATTCCGCGTGTGCAGCCTTGCAGCTTGGAAACGTGGCAAGGAATTGAGACATGGAGCTGGTGGTTGCTGGTGGTTGCTGGTCAGAGGAAACATGGCATTGGTGGTGGATAGTTACTTGGTATACTTCCACAGGGTCACCCAGATGTCGCCGTCATAAAGGGGTGTGTGTGCGCCAGTACGAGAATGGTGTGGCCATGTGTATAATTTTACATAGAAGGTGAACATGATTATGTGGACGGCACATCATGTCCTGCGTGCAGCCATTCACAGGCTTGATGAAAGCACTGCGAACGTCCGACAAGTGTCCAAGATAGGGACAGAGTGAGACATCGGGGGCATATGGGCAGCCGGTGCACTGCATAAATGTTGGTGAGCCTCACACGCCACTGCATAGCGGCGAGGCCATGCCCAAGGAAGCTACCCGATCACCGCCCCCACACATCCATGGTCGCTCACCGCCAGCCGCCGAACCATCAACACCTGCTTGCTTGTCCTTGTCTGCTTGTCCGCCTTCTAGTGGACAATTTCGCCAGAACTTCCTCACCCCCCCCCCTTTTTTTCCAAACCCAACACCCACCTTAACAAATCTTGATCATGGACGAGATCGCGCCCGAGTACGACGTGGTGGTCCTGGGAACGGGTGGGTGCTACCCCGCGTGTGCCACTGTCATGATGGTCCGCCTTGAAGCTAACAAACCGCCCCAGGTCTCACCGAATGCGTACTTTCAGGGTAACTAACACTTGTGTTTTTGTTTGTATGCCGACAGACAGCTTGCTGACAGCTGCCAGTGTCCTCAGTGTCAAGGGCAAGAAGGTGCTCCACATTGACCGCAACGATCACTATGGCGGGTATGTAGAGCCTGCCTAGGACTTGGTCTCAATCCGTCACTAACAGGCATGCAGTGAGGCCGCTTCTCTCAACATCGAAGCCGTAAGTCATCTAGCCATGCCCTGCCCTGCTGCACGGTGATCGAATAGCATACTTACACGCCCCGTACAGCTCTTCAAGCGCTATGGCCAGACCGAAGGCGAGCCGTGGAAAAAGTACGGTCGCGTCAACGACTGGAACATCGACCTCGTTCCCAAGCTCCTCATGTCTAACGGCGAGCTCACCAACATCCTCGTTTCGACGGACGTCACAAAGTACCTCGAGTTCAAGCAGATTGCTGGTAGCTACGTACAGCAAGGAAACGGGGCCAAGGCCACAGTCGCAAAAGTCCCGTCAGATGCGGGCGAGGCGCTGCGATCGCCCCTCATGGGTCTGTTCGAGAAGCGCAGGGCAAGGAACTTCCTCGAGTGGGTCGGCGCATACAAGGAGGATGACCCAGCAACACACAAAGGTCAGTCGATGGGACGATGGGTCAAGCAGCTGCCATGACTAACGGCGTGATGCAGGACTCGACGTGAAGACCAACACCATGAAGGATGTCTATGACAAGTTCGGCCTCGAGCCTAGCACTCGTGACTTCATTGGCCACTCCATGGCTCTGTATCCGACAGACGACTACATCACACAGCCTGGTCAGGCGAACGAGGCTATCCAGCGCATCAGGCTCTACGTCAACTCGATGGCACGGTACGGAAAGTCCCCATACATCTACCCGCTCTACGGTTTGGGAGAGCTTCCCCAGGGTTTCGCCCGTCTCTCCGCCATCTACGGCGGTACATACATGTTGAACACCGACGTGGATGAATTCCTCTATGACGGCGGCAAAGTGGTTGGCATCAAGGCCACCATGAAGGAGAAGGACGACACTGGTCCGGGCATGAAGTTTGAAACCAAAGCAAAGAAGATTCTAGCCGACCCTTCATACTTTCCGGACAAGGTTCGCGTAACAGGCCACCTGCTGAAGGCTATTTGCATTCTCAACCACCCCATCCCCAATACCGCTGATGCAGATTCGCTACAGCTCATCATCCCTCAGTCCCAAGTCGGACGCAAGCATGGTAGGGCAAATCCTGTACCGTTTACAATAGACTATGCTAATCCGTCTAGACATCTACGTCGCTGTTGTCTCATCCGCACACAACGTCTGCCCCAAGGGCTATTACATCGCGATCGTTTCTACTATTGCCGAGGGTGACAGTAACCACCACCTTGAGCTCCAGCCCGGTCTCGACCGTCTTGGAGCGATTGAGGAGAAGTTCATGGGTCAGCCTATTCCACTTTACGAGCCCATTGAGGACGGTACCAAAGACAACATTTTCTTGTCAAAGAGCTACGACGCTACCAGCCACTTTGAGACCACAACAGGTAAGTCATCATTTGCTACCGTCAACTTGAACTTCCTGACACACTTCCAGACGACATCAAGGACATTTACCAGCGTGCTGAGGGAAGTGAGCTAGTTGTCGAGGGTCTGAGGGAGGGAGCCAACTTTAATGTTGAAGAGTAGATAGTACGTTCGCTACGAATCATGATGCAAATTGCTGTCTGCCAATTGGGTATCTCACTTGAAGGTTGTTGATGGCGTCGACTCTATAGTAATGCAATACATTCAGCCACACTTGATGATTGAATTCATGCGGGATTTCAAAGTGCATCTCTTCGAGGACGCCGTTTTTTTTGGTACAGAGATGTGTTCAGCATGAAAAATTCTCGATGCACAATCTGATGTGTGACTTAACTGTGTGATGCGCTGTTACAGTGGCGGCTGGCGCGGTTTGCGGAGAACGGGCTCGGTATTTCCTAATTAAGTTAGGCCATGACTAAAGTTAACCTCCAGTCCACCTAAACATGGGATATTACACTTTGTACACGGGTGAATCTGAAATCGGGTAGAATAAATTGTTGATATCTTTCTATACAGTCAAGGTCAAGGTCTTTGAACACAAAGGTAAGATTGCAATGCAGGGTGTCGACCTATCAATCTTCTGAAGGCAAACCCGCCCCCAAACTGGCTTGGCATGGATCAGCTAGGGGGAACACCTCCATGGTCGCATAAACCATTGAGGTACTATCCTATCGTCAACAACAAAACGTCTCCTGCGAGACAGTCACTCTTTTTTCCCGCACCATCATGGCGCAATTCGGGCGCTACCATTTCCTCATTGTCGCTGTGGTATTCCACCTCGCCTACATTTATAGCATCTTCTCAATATACTTTGTGAGTCCCATCGTCCATGGCATGCGCGAGCATCGGGTGGAAACTCAGGAAGCACCTGCGAAGCGATTGGTTCTGTTTGTTGGTATGATATGACACCGCGATCTCTGGTATCTTGACTGACAGGGCAAAGGCGACGGTCTCCGCGCAGACAAGGCCTTCCAATATTTCCCCAACCCCAACCCAGATCCCACGGACTCATCCTCGGTTGACCCAAGCGAGCCCCGACCTCTCGCGCCATTTCTGCGTTCAAGAGTACTCGAAAGCGGCACCTTTGGTGTATCGCATACCCGCGTGCCAACAGAGTCTCGACCAGGACACGTTGCGCTCATCGCGGGACTCTACGAAGATGTTTCCGCAGTCATGACGGGCTGGAAGCTGAACCCTGTGAACTTCGACAGCGTGTTCAATCGTAGTAGGCATACATGGAGTTGGGGGAGTCCGGACATCCTCCCCATGTTTGAACAGGGCGCTGTGCCTGGACGAGTAGACGCAGATTGCTACGGCCATGAATTTGAGGACTTTTCCAAAGATGCTTGGGTACTGGACGAGTGGGTGTTTGACCGCGTGAAGAAATTGTTTGCGGATGCGAAAACGAATGCGACACTGGATGCTGAGTTGAGACAGGAGAAGAATGTCTTCTTTCTACATTTGCTGGGTCTGGATACAACGGGACATGCGCACCGGCCGTATTCGTGGCAATATCTTCATAATATCCAGATTGTGGATCGCGGGGTACAGGAGATTACGGAATTGATTGAGGAATTCTACAGCGATGATAAGACGGCATTCGTGTTTACGGCGGATCATGGCATGAGCGATTGGGGTAGCCACGGCGATGGACATCAGGATAACACGCGCACGCCGCTGATTGCGTGGGGTGCAGGTGTGGCGAAGCCGGTGAAGACGAAGACTGGATTGGCTCCTGGTCATGAAGATCATTTCTCGTCTGACTGGCATTTGGATCACATCCAAAGACACGACGTTGAGCAGGCAGATGTGGCGGCGCTCATGGCTTACCTTGTTGGTCTGGACTTCCCCACCAACTCGGTCGGAGTCCTGCCTCTAGGATATCTGGACACAGACGAGAAGTCAAAAGCAGAAGCCTTCCTTACTAACGCCAAGGAGATCCTCGAAATGTACCACGTCAAGGAGGAACAGAAGAAGGCTACCGAGATCCGATACAAGCCCTTTCCAGGACTAGGCGACGAGACACATTCGGTGGAACATCGGGTCTCGAAGATTCAAAAAGCCATTGACGCTGGCGTGAACAAGGCTGATTTCAAGAAGGCCATTGAAGAGACGTATGAGCTGATCGATCTTGGTCTCGAAGGTATCCGCTATTTGCAGACGTATGATTGGCTCTTCCTGAGGACCATCATCACGGCTGGCTATGTAGGCTGGATCGTGTTTGCTCTCACTACTGTCATCAACCTGCACGTATTGTCTGGAGAAGTTCCGGCTCAACGGACTGCACCAAGCACAGTCTTCTTTTGCTCTGTTGCTGTTGCGCTTTATGGGGTTTTGATCAAGCAGCGATCCCCGATTATATACTGGGTCTATGTCTTCTTCCCGGTTATTTTCTGGGAAGAGATCTTTGCGCGGAGACAGTCGCTTGTGCAAGGGGGCAGAATTTTGTTTGGGCATGTGCAGTCGAAAGGCGAGGTCGTGAAGTTGGTTCTTGGAGCTCTTGGCTTCTTGGGCCTACTTCAAGCCCTTGTAAGTCTTGGAGAGTTGATGAGAAATTGTCGTCTAACGGTAGGCAGGTGCAAAGCTATTTTATCAGGGAAATCTACACTATATGCTATCTGCTGGCGACGTTATGGCCCGCAGTGTACGGGACAGAATTTATGCGCAAACACAAGGGCACAGTTGCGACTTGGGTCTCTTCATGTATGGCTATGAGCGTGTTCACTATGCTTCCCGCCAACAAGGCTGAGGATGTCCGATTGATGTAAGAGTACATTGTGCCTGTTTTGAAGGTCATGCGACTAACAGGGCCATAGCCTACTTGGAGGGTTTCTGATGTTCGCCGTCGGCATGCTCTATCTTGTCTTTGAGGATCGCATTCTTGAAGGCGAGCCGATTGACCGGAAAGTCCATGAGATCTCTCGACTCTTGATTGGGGTGCAACTCGGGCTCATACTTTTGTCCATGATCGTGACCAAAAGCAGCATCGGCTATATACGGGGGCGTCAAGGGCTCCCACTTGGGGTATTGACTGTAGGCTGGACCACACTCATCGCCTCGCTGTTTATGCCGCAGCTTCACGGTCTCTTCCCCAACCATCACTACATCCACCGCCTCGTAGTCATCTTCCTTCAATTCTCACCCACTTTTGTCATCCTCTCCATCTCGTACGAAGGACTGTTTTACTTTGCGTTCTGCTGCTGCCTCTTTGCCTGGATGAGACTGGAGCACCAGGTCCAGCAGCACACCAGCAGCCACCCGACACCAGCGATGACGGCAAAACAATCTACCAAGACGGACATGGCCAATGGCGGTGCGGCCAAGGAAGCATGCCGAAAATATCGGCCTCTGGCCTTGGCCGACACGCGCATCGCCCTCTTCTTCCTCTACTTTCTGCAATCCGCCTTCTTCTCGGCCAGCAACATTTCGTCTGTATCCTCCTTCTCCCTCGACGCCGTCTACCGGCTGATACCAATCTTCGACCCGTTCTCGCAAGGCGGGCTACTCGTGCTCAAACTCATGCTGCCGTTTGCCTGTCTGTCGGCCGTGTTTGGCCTGCTCAACCGGCGGCTCGGGGTGGCGCCGAGCGCGTTGTTTATGCTGGTGATGGCGGTGACGGACGTGTTGACGTTGGGCTTCTTCTACATGGTGAGGGATGAGGGGAGTTGGTTGGAGATTGGGACGGGGATTAGCCATTTTGTGATTGCGAGTTTGTTGGGGGTGTTTGTGGTGGGGCTGGAGGGGGTGAGTGAGTGGGTTGTTAGCGGGGTGAGGTTTAGGGAGAGTGAGGATGGGAAGAAAGTGCAGTGAGCGGGTGTTGCGGGAGGGGACGGTGTGGGCCTCTTTTATGTTCTCCTCTTTTTCCCTTCTTCTTATCTCTGTTATAGATGCCATGTTATTATAATGTATCCGTACGAGTCGAAGAGTAGTCATGCTAAACAATACTCCAAGCCTCTAAGCCAAGCAGATTATCGTACTTGACCTAAGTATCACCTCCTATCACCATGATTCACAACGGGTTGATGTCCATACGAAAGACTCTTCTTCACCGTCTTAGTGTTGGCGTTACTTTGACAGCACTCGCTAGGCCCATGCCGCACATCTGAAGCTTAGGTTAGGCATGTCGCACAGGCATCCACCGCCGTAATCCACACCCCATGCCCAAAACCTTCCCAATCGGGAAATCTACGGAATCGCTAAGCGGCGGGTAGCGGGAAGTCGACAAGCCGGACCCGACCGGTGGCTGGACATGGGTTACAGGGACAGGCCTACTCTACTCTACAGGCCACTGTGTCTGCAGAGGACAATGTACTCTACTCTAATAGTAGCGGGTAGGTAGTATGCATTGGCGCTTCATCGTGGTACAGGCGTGCGGGACCTGTAATCTACAGTTGATGACTGACTTTCCCAACGAGGCAGGTTAGCTGTCTGTACCACTGCAAACACGTGAGGAGAGAGGGTAGAGTCTAGACTAGGGGTGTTACGGTAGTAGAAGTGGTAGTGAGTGGTAGTGGTACTCTAGAGTACCTATGTTAGATAGCTGGCTGGGCGGTACTGCACATAGGCAGTCTAGTATATGCCAATCACGGAGGGTAGAGTGGGGTGGGTGGCATGAGAGAGTAAGAGTACTGTTGTTGGTGGTAGTAGTAGTAGGCCGGTAGGTAGAGTAGGGTGCCGGTAGAGTAGAGTAGGTAGCACAGGCGTGTTTTGCAGTCATCCACACCACTCTGTCTTGGAGAGTTTCCTGATTGGGAAGGTTGGTGTTAGGGCTGCAGCGTGGGGGCGTGGGGGCGTGGGGGCGTGGGGTCACATCCCATTGTCTTTGTCGTCCGTCTGCAAATGTCTCGATTCTTGTGCTTGATGAAGAGCGAGGGGCTGCTTGAACGTCTTGGAATCCCATCTTTCTTTCTTGGTTCGGATGGTAGGGGTAATGGTATCTGGGTTCTAGGCAAGTACGGAGTGGATACAGTACCAATGTTGGTTTGGTTTCGCGATGGCTAGATTGTTGTTCATGCATGATGCGCGGTGATGGCCTTATGATACCTACGGTACATGCACAGGTACCGGATAGCTCTTGTTCGTCACCGCCCTCGCTCTTCTCTGGCCCTTCCCACACAGAGTAGACTGAGGTTTGTTAAGCGATACCGTCGACGATCTTTCGATTTGCGATAAAGACCCG